TATGGCTTGTGTTTAGATGTCCCCCAAAGCATTGTGCAGTCATAGGTGGGCTCTGCAGGAGTGGCTGGATGGGAAGTGTGTGATGCTGTGTCCACTGATAGGTTTGGCAAAGCTCTTGGCAGGACTGAGGGTGCCCTAGCCTGGGTGTGAACCAGGCTATCTGCCTTGATGGTGGGCAGATAAGAGTTAGGATATGATGTAAGGGATAGGAAGAGGGTTGTTGTCTGTCACTTGTCATTTGCTGTTTGCTGTTTCTGCCTGCCAAGAACTGTTTCTGCTCTGTGATGTCCATCTGCCCTGTCACCCTGCCTTGGAGTCAGACAACACTGAACTGAAACCTCTACAAACTATAAGCCAAATCAACCTTTCCTCCATTAACTCTGAGTGTAGAGTATTTGTGTTAACAATGAGAAAAGTAACTAAGACAAGGTTCCAATGTTGTACAAATGGAACACTGTATCTAAAAGGATTACATGTCTTTGTGAGCAGTCTCTGTTAGCAGTGATGGGAATTTTGAGCCTTGGAGTAAACTTCTACAATTAGTAAGATAAAGATTCATGGGTACATTCATACTTTCCAAAACTGCATATCTGAGATCTGAAATAGTCAATAAGAGTCAGTGGATCTGAAATCTATTTATTGGTCCCCCAAATAGTCATTATATGTCATAGTAGAGAGAACATCAGACCTAAAATCAGAACCAGAAATGTCTTTGGGCCTTAACTACTTATTAGCACAAGTCATACATAAAACTCAGGACCAGTTTTTTCTTCTATCAGGTGAATCAAAGTACCCAACTCATTGTGATAAAATGTTTCCAATAATGTGTATGAACTTTATCCAGATTCTAGAGTTAGTTGTAATAGTGAGATTTTACATACAGTTCACTCCAAGATAGATTCTTAATTATACTTGTAAAAATTAAACCCTTAATCACTTATGACAAAACAATATCCATTTTGAGAGGGTTAATTGGACTGATTTATACATTGCACAGTATTTACTTTTGATATTAATTTTCCCCTTTGGCTGAGATAGTGATCTCGGAGAAATCCTTCTCCTAATGTTCAGGATCAGACATCTCCAGCTATTCACAACTTTCCATGCATAACTGCAGCATTTAACTCACATATTTCCTCATTGAAAGTCACAAAAGGAATTATTCTATGTTGTACAATTTCCCTTACCACACTCAATTTGCCCTTCCTGGTTGCTGTCGTGCTTTCATGAGTTAAATACTATCTTATCAAAATTCAAGACTCCACCCCAAGTATAGAATCTCATGAAATCCTAAACCAGATGCCTTATAACTTGCCTTGAGCCCATAGTTGCATCCATACTCGAGACATACTGTTTCATTATGACCACTAAAAATTCTCTTGCTTTTAGTGAAGCATATTTAAATTACATTTCTCTCTTCTATAGTTTAGTTTTGTATGTATTTCTTATGTATCAGTAGAGCACAATGCAAGGCTATATCTATTAAATACAAATGGTTCAGTTATTAATTATATTACTATTTCACACATTTGAAAGTGGAAGAATATATGACATTAAATTATAGCAAAAATTAGTATAGAACAGTTTTTCTTTGTGCATTTCTCCATTCACTGAAAAATGCTTCTAAGAAAGGAACCACAGAGAGGATTAAATAAGTTTTGTCATTTATTAGTCATAAGCTCATTGCAAAATTGACTCATATAATTAGAAATATTACAAATCACAAATAAATCAGGTCATTTAAATATTAAATGTTAAATTATATTTTGTATTGTAAAATATCCCATATCATAATGAATGTGTGTGCTCATGTAACAAAAAGGCAGAGAAAATATGAAAATGCATTAAGGAATATAATTATATCATATACTTATAGCTTGCTGGCCAAATCTGATTTAATGTAAAAACATAAATAAGAAGGAATTTACTATGTAACCTTTTGTGAATCATTTGATAATCTGAAATAAATACTCCTGCATATGCTCTAATTTCACAGGCAGGTAGTAACACATAAAGAGTGATCATTGGGTGCTCTAACTATACTTTCTGATGCACGTGTGACACATACATTTTGTTGTTGGATGCATTTGTCACAGCTGAACAAAACTTCTATTTAATTAGATTAAGTTCAACAACCCTTTCTTGATAAATGCATTTTTTTCCCGAAATGTTTCAAAATCGTAGTTGTGTCATTGGAGTATTAAATGATCACATGCATTCAGTGTCCTGTACATAGATAAGCTTTCCAGGTGTCCTTATTCTTGAGATACTTGTAAGATATGAGAGTGACTCATTATTGTGCAGTCAGAAGCCATCAGACATGATATTTCAAAACTTGATAATGTCTTTTAATTTTTATGTGAGATATATAGAGAGAATGCTGTACTCCTAAGGAACCTGACCCTTAACGCAACCTAATGTCTGAAAGGCTCGGTAATGGGAAGAAACATTAAGCCCTTAGTGCTGAAGATAGCATTATTGTGGATATATATATCATACAAAATAAGTATCAACAAATAAGATTGTGGTTATCTCACAGAGGAAAAAATCTATTATTAGAAGATGTTGCTCTCCGCCACCTCCACCGCCGCCTGTCCTTCGGCCGGCGGC